GTGGGTACAAAGAGAAGGTGCGATGCCCACTCGCAGCGTGCGCACACCCGTACTGCAGGACACACGTCTGGAACACGGAGCGCAACGCGCACTGTTCACACACACATACCCCCGCAGTTCGCACACACACACACACACACACCACACGCACAGGCAGCGCGTGCACACGCTGCAGCACACACGCGCAGGGAACGCGCACGCCTGCACACCCCCCGCGTGCGCCCACCCCGGCGCCCGCCTGCAAGCTCACAGCGTGCGCCCAGCGACGCGTGCGCTCGTGGAACGCGCCTCCCACAGGGGCACGCGCCATGTCCTTTCCAGGAGATGCTGCAGACTGCAGCTGAGCCTTTGGACCATCAAAATGAGGCTTTGGAAGCCAAAGCTAATGCTTAGGAAAGGGAAGGGAAAATGAGTTGTTCTGGTTGGATTTGTTGAGGTCCTGCTGGGGGACAGTCCATGTGCTGCCCATCTACTCTCAAGTGCAGGGTGACTTTCGTGGCTTTGTTTGGAGGCGTGAGCTCCAGATCCTCAAAAAGGGAGAATTCCCCATTCAGGCTGCTGTCACAGATGGTGTGCAAGTCCCCTCCCAGCAATCACAGCTCAGGCAAGGCAGAGCTGGAAAGCCGAGGCACCTTAGCCACTTGTTCGAGCGAGGTCTGCTTGCGCTTGTGCCCTGCTGGATTGGAGTTCAGGTCGCTGGTGAATTCTTCAAACTCTTCCAGAAGCTGCTGCCACTCCACGCTGGTGTTGAGAATGTTCTTGGAGGAGGGAGTCGGAGCAGTGGGGCTGGCGACGCGCTGTGCTTCTGGCTGGGCTCTGTCAGGGAAGGCCGGCTGGAACTGCACTGGGGTCATTCTCCGCTTTTTGGCGGCACCCTGCTGGAGCTGGTATCGTGGCTCCAGCTTCCAAAAGCCACCTTTACCCGGCTCGCCCTTCTCCCGAGGCACCCTGATGAAGTGCTCGTTCCAAGGACAGGCTGTGCCGGATGGAATCCTAGACCCAATAGAGAAAAAAAACAAGGCTGAATGCTTGTCTGCTGCTGCAGCCACTCCCTCTGTGCAGAGGCTGGTGGAAAAGGCCATTTTCAGCAAGGACCTCTGGGAAAAAGAAAGCAGAAACAGCAACCTCAAGCCATCCTGGGCTACAGCCCCAGCAGAAAGTCCCCTGCCCCATGGCATTGGCAGAGTTTTCTTGCCTCTTGTCTGCTCCAGACAGAGGTGGCAGGAGCCAAGGGTGTCCGGCGAGGACTTGCCAACCAAGAGGAACTTTGGGGCAACTGTCCTTGGCTGTAACTTGTGGCCATGTAACTTGTGAGTCACGCAGAGCACTGGCAGGACCCACCCAGACTTGCTCCAGGCATGGAGCTGAGCTGGAAGAGGGCAACTCCTCCTCCATGGCTAAGGAAGGAGAGGAGGATCTTTACACTGCTGTGGCCAGGACCCCATTGCAAGTGGCAGCACATGGCAGCACCACGGGAGGTGGCAGCAGGAACACAGGCAACCCTGCAAATAATCCAGGCTGTGGTAACTCCAGATTTACAGTTTCACAAAGTTTTACAAGGGTCAGAGACTCGCAAGCTGAATTCTCTGCTCCCCATCTGCCTTCCCCATGCAAAACTTCATTTAGCCTGGGCTGCCCTCCATTATGATCCGGTCGGAGAACGTATTTATCACTCCTGCCTGCAAGAATCCTGTGAAGCCCCTGCAGAGAGAGATCGGAAACCTTCTTTCTTTGTGGAAGGCAACCCTTTAATTAATTAATACCATGGTGATATTCCAGGCCTGAGTTTGCAGGAGGAAGTCAACCCACTGGCACACAGCACCTCCTCTCTCCTCGCTGCCCGAGGTCCCCCCAGCACAGGGGAGGCCGGGGGACCCAGGTGGTCCTGGAGAGGAAGCGGGGAGTTCCCTTCCCCGTGATGGGCTTCAGGAGCCGCCAGAGACCCAGCTGCCTGGGCAGAAAGTGGGCAGCGCCTGGGCAGGGGGTTTGCAGTGTTTTGCCCAGCCCTGCCTGGGTGAGCCCCGGCCGCCGGCATCGCTGGCACATGGCGGAATTGGGCTGGGAATAACCCAGCAGAGCGGAGGGATGAGCCACCCGGGTCCCTCCTGCCCTGCCACATCCTAGGGAGTGTCACGTGCCGGAGGTCCCCCTGCGTGATGGAGAAGGGCAGTGAGCCAAGGTGGCTGGGAAAAGCCCCCAGGTGAGCTGTGGGGCCGTCCCCTACTGCCTGGGGACAGCTTGGTCCCCAGTGTCACCCCCCATCCCCTGCAAACTCCTGTGCCCTCAGGAAGGGAAATCCCAGGAATGCCGGTGGGAGAGGGAGATGGGGGGGAATTAAAAGAGTAAAAACAGTGAAACAAACAGTACATGCTCCCCCTGCGCAAACCTCCAGCCCCTGACAGCCGGCACCGCCCGAGGTGCCCGGCCGAGCCGTCCCGCTGTCCCATCGCCCTCCACAGCCAGCCCACCACTCCCCACCGCTTGCGGCCACCGCTGCAGCCCTTACCCCATACCGGCAATGGCCCCCAACTTCCAAACTTCAGGGTAAAGCACAAAGATCTTAAAAAAGCCCACAAAGCCAAGTTAAAAAAAAAAATAGCCCCCAAAATTGAAAAAAAGCCGCAAATGCGGAGCAGGGAGGGGGGCGGGATGCTGTCGGTGCTGTCCCTGGGATGTCCCGGCCCTTAAGTGGCAGCTCCCAAAGGCTTCCCACGCTGCCAAGGCGACGCTCCGCCCCATATCCAGCTCCCGGCCCTGCCATTGGTCCCGGCGTTGCCATGGGGAGCTGGAGGGCACCTGCCAATCTGGCTGGGACGGGGCCATCTGGGAACCGGACCGGCCTGGGGGAGCCCCTGGACGGGTCGGACGGGCAGAGCCGGCGCACCCAGGGATGTGCCAAGGGTCCCACAGCCGAGGCCCAAGTCCGGCCCTGGAAAACTCAAAACCTGGGTCCTGCCCCCCCGCGGTTGGCACAGGCACGACCCCGGCCCTTTCCTCCTGCCTGTGCCCCATCCACACCGCCCTGCTGACCCCGAGCACCCCCACAGCAACTGGGGCACAGCCCAGAGGGGCAGGGGGCCCGGTGCACCCCCCAATTAAACACGGGGGCGCACCTTTAGCGCCTTCCAAAGATGACAGCCCCGTGGCCCTGGAAGAAATCCCTGAGCCCACCACTGCCAGCCCAAGGGCTTGAGCAGAGACCAGGGAGGGACCCCCCTCTCCCCAGCCAAGGGGGTTGGCTCAGAGCAGCCGGGAAGCCCAGGGGCAGCCTGTTTGCTTTCAGCCCACAGCACAAGGACGCCCTTTGGGGCACCACGGGGACTCAGGGCAGTTTACACTCCTTCAAACGGGGGCACTTCTCCTCCCCACTGCCCAGCGGGGAAGGACGTTGCGCAGCGACGGGCAGGGGAGCAGCCAGACCCGCTCTCAAGGGCGGCTGCTGCCTCAAGGGCTGTAGACCAGCAGGGATTTTCCTGCCCGGATCCCTGAGGATTTGGGAAAGACAGGCTGGGGGATCAAACCCTCTCCCCAGCACACAGGCAGGTGCCTCTCTGCTTGGGCCTGTCCCCAGTGGCCACAGGCTGGGAGGTGACCCGTGGGTGCTGGACTGGCTGTGGAGGAGGGAGGAGGCAACTCCCAGGGCAGCAGAAATTCATTTCGGTTTTAAAGCGCCCCTTTAATCAGGGGCTTGTGTTGCCCCGGATGAGCAAAGAAGGGGAAAATAACAGTCTCGGTCCAAAACAAGGGAGAGGGGTTATGGCAGCTGCTGAAAGACAGAGAGGGTTGATGCTTGTCTACACCATCTAGTAACTGCAGTGATGATTTTGGGTACAAAAAGGATGAAAGCTGGTTCTGACAGTGACAAGGTCCTAGATCCTTCATGAAACCTGTTGTTGCTGCTGCTGCTTCCCTGACCTTGGGCTCTGCAAATACAGAGATGTCCTTGCACGGTGGGACTCTGCAGTGGGACGGGGTATCTGCTGGGGAGCACATCTCAGCTCGGCACAGAAGGAGGTTTCCATATCCGGGAGAAGGGGAGGGGGGGGGAGTGGACGTTTCCACCCTGGGGGGACAGTTGGACAGGGCTGTCCATCCCTGCCCGCAGAAGAGTCCTGGTGCCGCTGCAGGAGCAGTTGGGGGGGCGGCCGCCCACCCGCCGGTGCCTCTGCAGGGGAGGGGGTCTCCTTCCGCGCGGCGTGCCCGGGGGTGTGGCAGCGCGCTCGGGGTACGTCCCCACGCGTGTGCCCGCGCTGCCGCCGAGGAGGAACCCCCCCGCTGGGCGTTCAGCAGTTCCAAACTGGCACCGACACCGCCCCCAGCACCGACACCCTGAGAACATTCCTGATAAAAATACCCCGCAAAAGACCAACAAACAACAAAAACAAAAGCACACGCACCACCAGCGATGTGCCTGTCCAAGAACACTGCAAGGTACAAGTGAGATTGACAGAAAATTCTGAACTGCTGTGCAAAGCAGTGGCCGTTTACAGCATTTTAAGGAGTACGTCAAGACCCAAAACAAATCTAAACCTGCCAGGAGATGGCGACTGCAAACCCTAAAAGGAACATACAGCCCCAGCAGAAAATAGATCAGCCTTGCTCTTCAGCCTTAAAAAGCCCATCGGAACCCCTGACTGTGACCCAAGGCAGACATGACCACGACCCCTCAAGCCTTCAGGAGGGGCAGGTGGGACTGAACACGGTGGGGGCATTCGGAGCAGGCACGCTCACCCAGGCAGCCTGGGTACGGTCACCAACACGCCTCTCCACCAGCGCTTGCTAACGCTGTTCCACTGGGGTAGCCAGAGCTGCAGGCAGGGAACGGGAAAGCATCTCCTCCTAACACCAGTGTTAAGCCAAGAACTCTGCCTCCCCAGTGTGGAAACAGGACAGAACTCAAACTGTGCCCCTTCTCACGCCAGGTGAGAGTTTGGGACAGCAACGGGATGTCACAGCGCAGGAAAGCACCAAGGACACAGCCTACGGGAACGGAAGCTCCCCGGGTCTCAGAGTAATTCTAGAGCTAAAGCTGAGACAGACATCAACTCCAGATCAGATAAGACAGGCCAGCGCTCATCCCTGACCCGGGAAGGCAGCCTCCTCCCAGCCTACCCAAGGGTTTCCAACCCAGCACACTTTATTCCCAAAGCAGGACGCTGCCTTATTGCGGGGAGATGCCACTCACCCGCTCCTGGAGGCGGAACCAGAGGGACGTGGCACAGGCCATCAAGCCGCCCTCTGGGAGCACCTGAGCCCTCTGGCTAATGTTCTTCACCACGATGCCCCTGAGAATGAAAACAAGGAGACAGAAGAGGTGGGGAGGCATTTCTTCTACAGTGGAGCGAGCAGTGGGCAATAAGACGGACGCTGAGTCCTTCTGCTCTGGGGAAAAGTGCACAGCAAAGAAATACCCGCTGAACAGAAATCCCCAGTTAAACAGAAGAAAAAAAAAAAGCACGTTTGAGGAGCACAACATAGGAACAGACTACCACATGACTTCCTTCTGTGTGGTCCTAAACGTAAATGCACTACACGTAGAGAAAAATCATTACACAACTGTACCTTTCCTATAATTGCTCCATCGTTATTTAAACAGAGTTTAATACAGAGCAATCTGTATTTCTGTGCAAATCAGCATCTAGAGAATGAAAGCCTTTCCTCTTCCTCTGCCCATACACACCTTTCACCTCAACGCGCACCACGAAGCATTCAGAAAACCCCAAAGGGATCCTCTACAAAGACCCCGTCACACCCGTAGCTAAGAGACATTGGGAGAAGACTGCTGCAAAATTCACGGCCAACGCAGACCCCGTCCCGGCCAAGGCGCAGCAGAAGCACAGCGTGCCCCCACCCGGCAACTGCTTGAGCAGACGAACCTGAACAGTCCCGCCCCTGAGGGTTTTTTCCCCGCAAGGGCCCGAGCTCGTTTCTGCCCCTGAGACAGTTCTCGCCGCCCGCGGCGGTTCCTCCCCCGGCCCTGCCGAGGCCGCACGCACCGAGCTCAGTGCCCGAGTAGAGGCACCGACTCCCCCCCGACCGCCCACCAGCTCTTCCCCCGGCCCCCGCACGCCGCTCAGCCCCGCTGCCGGGTCCCCCGCCCCGCTGGGACGAGCGGCCGGGCCCGAAGCCCCCCAGCACCCCCCCCGGGCCCAGGCGCCGGCGGCCCCGGCCGGGCCCTTCCCGCCGCGCGGTACCTGCACGCGCCGCCGCCGCCGCCAGGAGCGGGCCGGGGCCGGCGGCCGCTGGCAAGGACCCCGCTGTAGGTGCCCTTCCCGGCGCCTGACCCGCGCCTGCGCGCTGCGGCCGTGCCGCGGGTGGGCAGCAGCCGGCGGTCAGGCGGGACGCCCTGGGCAAGGCAGGACCCCGCCCGGCAGCCGGCGCCTCCCGCAGCGCTCGCCGCGGCTCTGAGGAGAGGCCGGGGCCGGCGGCAGCGCCGGGGCAGGGCCGTGCGCCCGCGCTTCCCCTCCGAAATAAACCCTTCTGCTGCCTCATTCAACCCGTGAGGCTGCGTGCGGCCTGAGTTACCGGTGCCGGGCCCTGCCGGCGCGAGCCGTGCCGCGCGGAGACACCCTTCGGGCAGTGCC